CCTGCTGGGCTCTGGCAGGCCTTGAGTTGTGACATCTGCTTTCAATAACACAAAATCTTCCTCCTCTTGGGAAAATTGAGGTGATTTTGCTACTTAAGATTATTTTATATCTTTTAAATACAAGTGATTATGAAATAAATGTCTAATATCTTATATTTTACTTTCACGGAATCCCACCTCCACCCCTCTGTAGTCTGCTTATCATGAGGCATTAAAAAGTTTAGCAGTATTGATTAGGGTCAAAGGATAGTAACACTAATTTTAAAAGTGCCATATAGCAATAATGTATAGGAGATGAAAACCAGTTTAGGTCTGCAGTTACTACGTTCATATACTAATGATAATTAGCAGTTCCTTACAGCTTCATATTTTACATGATTTTTATTGCTGTCTTCTGAGTTATATTGAAAATTAGCAAGATTTTATTACTTTGTTTTCTGTTAGTGAAATGAATTGCTCATGACTATTAACATAAACAAAATGAGAATAATATGCTTTTAGATATTAACAGAGCAAAATGCAGGTCAGATGTGAATTCACATCTTCTAATATTTTAATGCCTCCTAACCCATTTAAAAATATTTTGTCTATGGAGTATAATCTAGGTATTATATTCATGAAGTAAACTTTACTAATGCAGTACTAGTGTCTTCCTCATTGACCCATACAAAAATGTTTGAAGGCGTGTGTGAGTAATCGTGCACAAAGAAGATATATAATTAATATTTTGAAGTCTAAGTTTCATAAATTATCACCAATTATTTTGAAGTTTTGCATTCTTTTACTTAATTTCTTGTTTTCTAGTGTTGTCTGTGTCGGTGGAGATGGATCTGCCAGTGAAGTAGCCCATGCTTTGCTTCTTAGGGCCCAGAAGAATGCTGGCCTGAAAACAGACAGCATCCTGACTCCTGCCCATGCACAGCTTCCCCTTGGTGTCATACCAGCAGGCAAGGAAGTGGCCATGAATTTGCTAAAAAGAACCTCTCCTATCTTTCTGTCTTTCCCTGTTCTACCTAACCTAGACAGTGTAACATAGAGTTAAATGTACAGATTTTGAATCTGAAAGACCCAAGCTTGGCATCTCCATCATCAAAAAAATTAATTTCTTTGAGCCTCATTTTTCTAATCCATACAAGAGAGATAACACATATAGTATTCACTTCCTTACAAGGTTATTGTAATATTAAATTAGATGGTATATATGGAAGGTTTAAAACATAGTGAACCAATCAATAAATAGGATTATTATTCTACCTTCCCATATAAAGGTCTAATGATCACACAATCGCAGATCTGAAATTTCAAAACAGGGCACTCCAGTCACACTGCTTATAATTTCTTATGAGGTAAAAGATGGTAATCCCCATAATCATAGTTTAAACAGATAACCTTGAAAACTCCAAAAGGATTTATTCTGACTGCTGTATGTGTAGCAACTAGGATAGAACAGAATGTGACATAATGAACACTCAATAATTAAGTTTATTAAGTGAATGAATATAAAGAAGATGTCATAGAGTAAGTGACACTTGAATTCGGCCTAAAAACGAAAATGGGTTGGGTAGGATCTGGCCTGAAGAAAAAATGAGAATGAATTGTTTTCTTGGCTGCAAAAATAATAAATGTCAAGACGAAACCCAGGAGTGTGGAAGAATAGAAAATGAACCATTTGTTGAATGATGTCAAAATAGGCCCAAACTTTGGTGGCTCCTGGATGCCACAGGAAGATGTCTGAATAGTATTTGATAAACAGTAGGGAACAATAGGAAGTTTAGAGCAAGGGAGCAACTTGCTAGGAGCTTGTTCTAGGCATATTCGTGATTAAGGGAAGGGAGCAGGAGGATTTGGAGGTCAGAGGCAGGGAGCGCGGCTAGAGCAACACTGGGGTCCAGAAAAGAGGAAAACATCTTTTGCAAATTTATGATGTTATATGAGTCATTCCTCCCAAATTATTATTTAAACAGACAATAATGAAGGAAAGGGATTATTTCTTTTCATTTTAAAAACATCACACATTATCTCTACAAGAGAAGCAGAAACAATTATTCTTTCCTATGAAAATAGAAAATGCACGTGCTTGAAAAAATTCAAGTCTATCCATTTAATAACCACATTCATTTAGTATGGATTTCAGTGTATGTAATATTGTTAATTAACAAAAAACAAAAGATATACAAATGTCCTTTTGAGTATAAAGTCTTTTATACAAACAAGAATTTAAAAGGAGAGGGACATTCAAACATATTTTGATAATTGTAAAGCTCATAGAGAAAAACCTGTGCTGTTCTTTAAGTAAAATAGAACAAAATTACCTCAATTCAGAAAGATAAAAGATGCATGTAGGGCAAACCACTTTGACCTTTTTGTGTCATTTTAGTATCCTTGTCTATAATGGTGGAACTTTTTCAGCATTTCCCTTCATGCAAAGTGGATGTGCTTGGGTCACCATTTCTCTTCGTTAGTACTTAACACTCCTGAGGTCACTCATTAACTGCGGTGCATCAGAAGGGGAAAGACAGGTGTCCCCATAGGTATGCATTTGACATAAAGCGAATAGTTACCTAGAAAAACTGGTGGCTATACTTAGCTTTTAAGTATGTAACCCAGATTTTCTAAAGGAATAGCATTGTTTTAACATTATTATACTTTTTAGAACATCTCTGATTTTGAAAGCATTTCCTATATATAGAGATGCCATTTGAATACTTTTTGTTTAGAAGATACAGACTATTGCCAGAACTCTGGTCATTGCATAGGAGTTTCAGCTTATAGATTCTACCTAATAAAAGGAAGTCATGTGCAGGTTGTATTTAATGTAAAGACTCTATGCCTACTCAGGGTTTTGACAGAGAATGAGAAGAGCTAGGCAGGAAGTTTCCAAGCTGAACGCAGAAGACAATCTGCCTTTGAAGCCATTTGCCTCCTGGAGAGAGACACCCAGAGGGAGAGTATTTAGTAAATTACTACACTGAGCCAACAGACTAAGCTGCTGAATTATGGTCAGACTCAAATGGATCAGATGTGCAAAAGCCTATATTTGAACTGCTGGCCATTAGCAATGGTGTTTGTTGCTATGGGAACTGGTGCTAAGGAACTATACAGAGAGATTCTGATTAAAGTGTGTATGTGGGTGGGGGGCGTGGGGAGGATAGAGAAAAAGCCTGAGAGGACATAAAAATAAAAAGCAATCCAGTTGTTGTAAAACAAGGCTCAATCCACATACTGATGGCTACAAACCATATATTTCTATAGAGTTCACATAAATAAATTCATACTTTCCAATTAATTTGAGGAAAATAAAGTATTGCCAAGAGACTGTTAATTTCTATGATATTTCAGGCAAAGAACCAAAATGTAGGTGCAGTTTTCATGAGAATTTTAGATATGCTTGACTAGGAAGTCATTACATCACATTTATCTGTTTAGATGTGGGAGACATTAACGGCCTTATGAATATTCATGGTGTCTGGTTAATTAAGTTAATTGTTCTGCAGAAGTGCACTTCCAAGGGCAATTTTTTTTCTTTTTTTCTTTTTGCCTCCATAGTTTGCCTTGTACTTCCATCAGTCATTCTTTACATGAACTGCTACTTCCCTCCTTACTCCGTATTTCGGTATTTGGCACTTTTTAACAGCTCTGGGGAGGTGGTGGTGAGCAAAGTTACTGATAGTATTAAGAAAAATAAGTCTTCAGGCTAATTAAATTGTTTACCTTGAGGCAGAACATTTATAGCTTTTGTGAGAATGCTAAAATTATGTAGTTATTTATGTGAGCAGCATGTTCTTTTGGCATACAGACATTTTTTTCAAATGGATCATATTTTGTTTCAGGAAATTGTACTCTATCTTTTAGATTATCCAAATAAAAATATAGAACAATCTATAGTTTTACAATTTTACATCTACTTCCTCATGAAGTTTTCTTTTTAATTCAAAGTATAAAAAAACGTCCTTAAAGACTAAGGTACAGGTTAAGCAGATGACTAATTTTCTGACTTCTGGTCGTGCCTGTCATCACTGCCAAGTTCTACAGAATTAAGGAAAAGTTGCAAAGCCTGAGAAGACATAAAATTAAAAAATGATCTCTAGCATTCTGAAAGCATTTGTGCTTGGGCATGCTTAGCATACTTCAAACTCACAGGGAATAAACAGTCTTTATTTTCTTGAGTCATGATATGTGTCATTCTCTATCGCACATGACATTACATTATGCTTTTTAATAGTCTTTCTAGAGGAATGCTTTTACGGCCACTCCTAATTAACCATGGTAATGGAGGAAATATGTTTTGTGGAGTACTGTAATCCATTGATAATCCTAAATATCTCACTCTAATTATGTGGCCCCCTCCAAAACCTTTACCATAAATCTGAGAAGCAAAATTGATTTGTTTCCTCTCTCCCCTACCCTCCATTTCAGATTAATTAGCAATTAGATGGCCAAAGGGCAGGCTATAGAGGGTCAAAGTATTTAAAAGGCCTAGATATTTGACTCCTGGGTAAAGATCCACTGAGTAACAGGTTTCTGGACCATTTGTTCTCAAATCTTAGGGTACTTATGAATCACCTTGAGAATTTGCCAAAACATGGACACCTGGGCCTTACTCCCAGACATTCCGATATCATGGGTTGTAGGTGGAACACAGAAATTTGCCTTTTTAACAAGCTCCCAGGTAATGTTGATGCTGCTGATCACTGGACTATATGTTCTGGAAGAGTACTTCTCTAAGTTACTGTGCTTGCCGTAACTCTGACTTGGTCTGAAGTGGGGCTTAAGAGTCAAAATCATAATAAGAATCCAGGTATTGTCATTGCTACTGGACTGTGAACCATATCCTGAGTTACAAGGGTCAGAGCATACTGGCCATTTGATAAATCAGTTGGAACCATTTTACCAGTTGATTAAGGTGGCCTTTTCTTTGCATTGGTATTACTAGAGGCCTGGAAATCATTAATGCTTAGATAGGTTCCTAATGATTATTTTAATGACAGCCTTGGTTGATAGTGTCTGAGTTGCCTCAGCTTCTCCAATTGAGCAACCCAAGCACACATCTCTTCAAAGTGACACAAATTGAAGAGATTAACATATCAGGACTGTTCCTGATTAACAAATTCAGGGAACTAGCCTTTGCCTCGATAGCTGTGGTATATAACACATCCATGTTGTCATAGCCCTCGGCTGTTACTAGATTTCTTTCTCATGTTCTTTAATTCAAGAAAAATTGGAGCTTCTTAATTTCAAACTCTGCTTACCTCCTGTGAATGGCAGGGGCCAGCTGATATTCTCCCCTGTACCACAAGATTTCAAAGTCATAAATGTTATAGGAGCCTGACTTGAGAGAGAGCCTGTTTCTTCTGTAGGTGGGAAAATTTCATGTAGATCTTAAATTATCCTAATGATTATGTAAATCAGAAATCTACAGTGTCTCAATATAGATTTTCATGCCATGGCAGATAGATTATCGAGGAGAATCCCCATTTGGGTGAGAGCTTATCTCTTAGATTCATTAAGTGTATTTAAAATATGTCTTTTGTACGTTGTAGTGATTTTTGTATTTCTTCTTAGTTACTATTTGAATTTTTATTATTTATATATTTATGCATTTGTCTCTGCTCTCCAGAGACACCCTTCTGCTGTTTCTGCTCACTGCGGTATAGAAGTTGGAAGCCCACTTATTAAAATTGGATGGAGTAGACTTTGATATAGCTAGTGTTTTTTGGTAAAAATTCATGATTTAAAAGCTGTGAACAAGGAGATACTATAAACTATTTTTTAATTTTTAAGTTTAAAGATTAAACAATTTAGTAACCATTTGATGTGCATGCTGTGAATGAAAACTTATCAATTTCCATTAATTTTTCATTTAAACATTACATAGTGACATCTCTATAAAGTCGATCAAATGGTTTTATTTAAAACATATTCTACATCAATTGTATGTTTTAAAATTGATTTGGCAGGCACTACCAACGTATTGGCACATTCTCTTCATGGAATCTCTCACGTGGTAACTGCAACTTTGCACATTATAATGGGTAAGAATTCTTTCGAAGAAGTTCACATCACATAAGGAATTTTTTATATTTATATAAGGCTGTTTTATTTCTGTCAGACTTACTTGCTTGAGGAAAGACAGATTTTTTGTCTCCCAAAGCAGACAAATGTTTGACCAAAACCCAAAACTCAGGCAAAGCTTAACTATTTGAGCTGCCTATCTTTTCAGAATGCAGGTACTATAAAGAGCAATAAATGAAGTTTTGCTATAATCTTGATAGAAAAAAAAATTATTGTAATGATGTTTAAGATCACAGTTTTATAACCAGATTAAGACAATCCACGCATGCTATAAGACAGTCCACGCATGCTATTTAAGTATATTGGATACTGTTGTTTGTACCAAGACTGTAGGGGTAGAACTATGTTATTAAAAGAAAAAACGCATGATAACATTTTCAGTCAGTGCTCATCCACTAGACCCTTTATTTTCCATACTGATGGAAAGCATATAAACTCAGATAAATGCAATGCCAGACTGTTGAATCTAAATTTACTTTGCACATGTACTTCACTTCCTTAACCATGCTTTATATGAAATAACAGCAAGCTACAAAATTTACCACTTTGTGTTTCTTCCCCTAGGACCTGAAAAAGTTGCAAATGGCAAATGCAGTAGTTGTAGGTAAAAAGAGATGTAAATAAAGCAAGGATATTTATTATGATATAAAGTAGCTTGAGATCTATAAGTAAATAAATATTCTTTTCTATGTTTGCCATTTGACAGCTGGCCCTACTGCACTCACTGATTGACTCATTTTAATATTCAATATAATATTCCAGGGCACCTACAACCAGTTGATGTCTGCACCTTCAGCACCACTGGCAAGCTTCTTCGCTTTGGGTTTTCAGCCATGTTTGGTTTTGGTGGAAGAACTTTGGCTCTGGCGGAAAGACATCGATGGATGTCTCCTAACCAACGGAGGGATTTTGCTGTAATTAAGGCACTGGCACATCTTAAGTAAACCTTTTTTTTTTTTTTTTAAACCAAGAATTACGTATCTCAGAGTCAGTGACTATTAATGACAAATTTCATTAAATTTTAGGCCAGAGGACTGTGAAATATCATTTTTACCATTTAACAGTTCTCCAGATTTACAACAAAGGTAGGTAAAAAGCCCAAAGTAATATCTACACCTAGCTCTTTCTTTAAAGCATAAAACAGTTTGACATAAACAATTTATTAGACTTGCACCCTTTGGTTGTTTTTCTAACATACTAGTGAAGAATACAGAATCCTGCAGATTCTAGTAAACCATGTAGTTTGGTTTCTGTCTTCAGAAATAACCATTTATTCCATTCATTCAACAGCTGTTTATTGAGTGCCATTCTAAACCACACACTTTGGATACAGTGAGACAAAAAAACAAAACCTTTTGTTTCTACCATGAGAGTTTCAGACTAGTGTGGAAAACAAATATAATCAAAGTCACACAAAGGAAGTGCTCCAGTCTAAAAAGTGAAGATCATTTTTTTTACTGATGATACTAACTTTAAATAGATCAGTACAATATAATGTAGTAATGGAACTGTTCACGTATTTTTACTGTCTAAGAAAATATGTAACGTTGGATTTTGTAATTTCCTTATACTTAATAGATGCTATTTTTGTGTGATTTTTTTTGTTTTGTTTTGTCTTCTTTTAGGGAGGCGCAGAGATCTCCTAAATCTGGTGAGTCTAAAAGTACCTCCTTGATTGAGAACTGAGCCAGGTTCTACTGACATTTTGCTCTGGTGAGGGAAAATAACCTATCTCTTCTATTACCTTTAGACTGTAATGATCAGTGGCAAATGATCCAGGGTCAATTTTTGAATGTCAGCATTATGGCAATTCCTTGCCTCTGTTCAGTGGCACCTAGAGGCTTAGCACCTAATACCAGGTTAGTGTTTTAATTGAATCATCAATACTTTTCTATAAACTAAAATTTTCTTTCAGGATACTTCCCCTAACTCTTGGCCAGCTAGAATATTGTGAAGAGGTATTCTCTCCTTGACTGTATGCTATTAGAGATTTTAAGGGTTTTGTCATCCGAGTAGGTTCAGAACAACTGTTAACTGGAAAAATTGTCAATCACTCTGATTTTTTAATATCACTGAGGCCAAAATAATATTCCTTGGGTTTTATTCATGATTTTATTATTTTATGTGTCCTTTGCTTGCTTTATTTATGTTTACTTGCCAGTTGTTGAGACATTGTATTTAATTCTGGTATTTCTTACGAATGTCTCTGCTTTCCAATTTTAGTGCATACACAAATGTCCTTAGCATGAAAAGCACGTATGTGTGCCTGTTTGAAACTTTTAATAAAAAAAAAACATTCAGTTGTACTTAGTGAGTAGTGGTACATTTGAATCTACTGCCAACATTTTTTATAAACGATCTTAAGGTATTTTATATATTGTTTTATCTGTAAGATATATTCCATCTCTTGCACATTTTTTTCAAGTACATGTCCAATATTGATCTGAAAATATGTCTCTCCCATTCCTGTGGAATGTAAAAGAATTGTGAATGTTGTGTAATACAGTCAAATCTAGATTTTCCCTGGAGGTGGAATAAAAGAATGACTTACGTACTTTGGTCATTTATAACATTATTTTAATGACTAGTTTTAACTTCCCTGCTGACCATAACCAGAATG